GCATCCAAGGTATTGTCTTTGAGAGACGATCTTATTTTGTTGCACGTATATGCTGCAGACGAGAACGCTCTTTCAGACTCTACATTCGTGGGGGATATCGTCAGTAAATGTCTGTACGCCATGTCTAAATAGAACCCGCGGTAGCCACCATTTTAAAACAATGCCATTTCAATTTGAATTAACTTATGCTTATCATTTTCACCATAACCACCATCTCTGTTAGCTTCATCTTCTGTTTCATTTCTATTTCGCATATTTGTATTTTTCTCCTTCAATGATTTTTCAATTTCTTTATTTAGTTCTTTAGCAAAATCAACGCTTTCGAAATCTCCATTCACGCTGCTGGCGCTATTATCCAAGGCCAAATCATTCATAACCCTAACCACAGGTTCATCTTCAAAATTTTGAGTTAGTGAATAAATTTCCTCCACCATTTCTGGGGTTTTCGGGAACTCGGCGGTAGCAACTTCACTGAAATATGTTTCAGGATTTTGGAGATACTGCAAAGTAGATGCAATAGAAAGTCGTCTTTGGGAAATGCGCACGCGCAATGATCTTGCGAGAAGTCTTGACAGTGTAGAATTTTGACTATCTAATTTACGTAGCATAAATTTCATAGCCGCATCAGCAGTTAATAGAGTTGCATCACGCCGGCACAGTGCTTCGACTGTCACTTTGATAATATGCAGAGTTTTCTGAAAATTGACCAAAGTATGAAACTCGCTCTGTGTGAACTTGATGTCAGAGTTCATGTCAATCAGTGCTTTGGATACACATGATCTTAACCTATTACAATATAACGTATTTGACAATTTTACGGTGACATATACACACTTTTATTCGGAAATAATCATTTAAAAATGACATATTTGTAAGCCTGCTACTGTCATAACATAGCACTCGGTTTTTATCAATTAAAAGATCTGTATTTCTGTACTTGTGTTAACAAATAAAAGTGATTTGATTGAATTTGATTTTGTCACTGGAACATACATAATTATTATTACCCGTTAGGTATGCTTTACATTAATTAAAATTAATAAAATAAGTAAAAACGATTCTATTGCCTCTGGTTTTTTTTTAATATAAAATATCGAAAAACCGATATCAGTCATATCCAATATCGGTTTTTCAATATCGGATTTTTGGTCCGATAATCCGGTTTTTCGATATTATAGAAAACCGGTATCCATGCTCTACTCCGTCCCCCTCGTGCTCTGTTCCAAAGTCCCGAAACCTTTCAGCTCGAGTTACAAAACCGTTTTCAGTGCCTGGAAGACTGCAATGAAGTGGACGATATGAATGACAAGCTCGTGGAAACTGTCCATGCGGTTGGAGCTAAGTTCTGCAAGACCCGCCGCAGAAGAACACAAAAACTCTCCGATCACACTCTTAATCTCATGGCTGTTAGACGGGAGATGAAGCTACATTCTTCAACAGACTTGACAGCATACAGGCATCTGAACAGACAGATCTCCAAATGCATGCGGCGGGATTTACGCAACTTCAATACAGCTCGTATTGAAGAAGCGATCGAGCGGAACCAAGGCTCCAAAGTCTTTGCCAGAGATCTGTCTGCCAGAAAGAGCCAACTGTCAAAGCTGAAGACAGAGTGTGGCAGCATCGTTTCCGGGACACCTGAGATTTTGAGTGAGATTGAGAGGTTCTATGGGCAGCTGTACACATCATCGTTGGAGCCACACGCAAGTGTGAGTAACGATCCAAGAGCGAGTCTCATCCGACACTATTCCGAAGATATCCCGGATGTCAGTCTGAGCGAGATTAGGATGGCTCTCCAGCACCTTAAAAACTGTAAGGCCCCAGGCGAGGATGGAATTACAGCGGAGCTTCTGAAAGCGGGTGGAAGACCGGTACTTGAAGTCCTTCAGAAGCTCTTTAATTCCGTCCTCCATGGTGGCATTACACCGGAGGCGTGGAGCAGAAGTGCGGTGGTCTTGTTCTTCAAGAAAGGTGACAACGCTCTCTTGAAGAACTACAGACCGATTTCCCTTCTGAGCCGCGTCTACGTGCTGTTTTCGAGAGTCATTACGAATCGTCTCGCGCGCAGACTTGACGACTTCCAGCCTCCCGAACAAGCCGGTTTCCGAAAGGGCTTTAGCACCATAGACCACATACATACCCTTCGGCAAGTTGTACAGAAGTCCGAAGAGTACAATTTGCCACTATGTCTGGCGTATGTGGACTATGAGAAAGCCTTTGATTCCGTCGAAATTTGGGCGGTGCTGCAGTCCCTTCAGCGGTGCCAAGTTGACTGTCGGTATATCGAAGTGTTGAAGTGCTTGTACAGTAGGGCTACGATGGCTATCCGAGTACAGAACCAGAGTACGAAACCTATCCAATTGCAGAGAGGTGTAAGACAGGGTGACGTCATATCCCCGAAACTCTTCACCGCTGCATTGGAAGACGTTTTCAAGCTTCTGGACTGGAAAGGATACGGTATCAACATCAATGGCGAGTACATCACTCACCTTCGATTTGCCGACGATATAGTCCTTATGGCAGAATCGCTGGAGGACCTAAGCACTATGCTCAATGACCTCAATAGTGTTTCCCAACGGATAGGTCTTAAGATGAACATGGACAAAACTAAGATCATGTTTAATGTCCATGTCACACCTATGCCGGTAGTTGTTGGGAACACTAAGCTCGAAGTTGTTGACGAGTATGTTTACCTGGGACAAATAGTCCGACTGGGTAAGTCCAACTTCGACCGAGAGGTCAATCGACGGATTCAACTCGGCTGGGCAGCGTTCGGGAAGCTACGACACATCTTCTCGTCAGACATACCTCAAAACCTTAAAACGAAATTGTACAACCAGTGCGTGTTGCCAGTGATGACTTACGGAACTGAGACGTGGTCCTTCACTGCTGGCCGTATGAGGAAGCTCAAGGTCGCTCAGCGAGCTATGGAGAGGGCTATGCTCGGAGTTTCTCTGCGTGATAAACTTAGGAATGAGGATATCCGCAGTAGAACCAGAGTGACCGACATAGCCCAACGGATTAGTAAGCTGAAGTGGCAGTGGGCCGGCCATATAGCTCGAAGAACCGACAACCGATGGGGAAGAAAGGTTCTCGAGTGGCGGCCTCGTACCGGTAGGCGAAGTGTAGGGCGTCCCCCCACGAGATGGAGTGACGACCTGGTAAGACATGCAGGAAGTCGATGGATGCAGGTGGCTCAGGACCGTGTTTTGTGGCATTCTTTGGGGGAGGCCTATGTTCAGCAGTGGACTTGTGAAGGGCTGTAATGATGATGATGATCAATTATATTCTGAAGAGATCATTTTGTAATTAAGGTAAGTAATATAAATTTTTTAATGTTTCATCTTTTAATTTGAATAAAAAAAACTAATCTATACATATTTACAAATAAATAAAATTGAAGTCTTGTAATGTCAAAATAACAGCTTTTTACTAAATGCATATGAAAGTATCCATACGGTATTAATAACAAAAAAACAATATTTAATAGTTTTTGTCTGTCTGTCTGTTTGTCGGAAAGAAACGGTTGGACCGATTTCCACGGGACTCACTGGCTGATGGCTGATGTTTTAGGGAGTAACTTTGGCTACTTTTATTTTAGAAAAATAATTAGTGTTCCGCCCAAAAAAACTAAAACCCATGAAATCCAATTGTAATTAATTGCACGCAGGCGAAGTCGCGGGGAACAGCTAGTTTCTATTAATTTTTAAATATGATGTTTGGATACACAAAAATATTTTAAGGAAGTTAGTAAAATTTTCTCTTTCCCTGCTGCTGCTCCATGGCTTACACAGCCATGAACACGATCAAAATGCCTTCATTAAATTAGTAAAGGGTTATGTATGGAAAAATCATTGCACACTTTATTTTTTAGGCAAAATAGCTTCCCGTCGAGTGATAATTTGCATTCATTCTTCTCTTTTAACAATATTAAATACTAAACAAGATACCACAATTTTCGATGTCCACGTATATTATATTATGTAAATCTGATTATAATTTAGTTAACTCACTAATACGAGTACTTATAGGGTTAAGTGCTCGTAGAACCACTAAGAAGCCTACTGTCTGCTGTCGCATCGATCACATTAGTGGACCTAATAAAAGTCATTTACCTAATCGTGTAATCGTATGTTATGACTTGTAGACACATTTATCAAGCTTAGTGTTGGATCATAGATACGAGTAATAGCGATTGATCGTAAATCAACAGCTACAAATTACAATAACTGCGATAAATTATTACTACTAGTGAACTGTAGCTACTCTCTTGTTTATAAAGACAACTGGCTCTCATTATGTTATCTTACCTATTAAAAATTATTTGAGTGAGTTACTTTCTTGAAATCCACAAACAAAATGTTTTCATGCAAAACTGCAATTATTGTTTGCAGAAGAAGGCAGCAAAATATTATTTTGTTTATCCTAAAAAAGCCAATACATAATACGTTGCTAAATATTTTATATAATATTTATCCTACAATTTAGCTCAGCCTTTGCATTTATAATGTCGAAGGATGACGTTGATGTTCTTTTGGCTGATTTGGATTATGACGACTATTTTCAGAAACTATTAAACTTGGCGCTATTTCAGACATGCTCGTGTGTGGTATATCGCTGCCACATATGAGTTGATGCTGCCGTACACTTTGCTTCATCGTTTGTTGGTTCTTAGAGCTACAACGTATGTTGTCATGATGTTAAAAAAAAAACTTTTTTCGTATAGCATAAGGGTGACAAACGAACACACAGTCCACCTGATGATAAATGGACGCTGTAGCCCATAGACATCTAAAGTACACCTGTCTTTGATTAAGAATCGAAATGCAGGTGCGTTGTCACCCCTGAGAACTAAGATGGAATGTAAAACGGATCTCTGGTTCTCTACATTCAACACACCAAACACAGCAGCATGAAGCTGCTATTCTGTGAGCGCGTGCTCCCTGGTCGAACCAATAAAACTATATTATGTCGAAGTATCAAATCTCTAACAAACTTTAATGTATTGTTGTTGCAGAAACGGTCCAGTGGAGGGCGCGTATGGTTCGCAGCACAGTCCGGTGTCGCGCTCGGACGCTTCCACCGAGGACGCGGAGCTGTCTGCTGCACTCGCTCACCAGCACCACCTCGCCATGCAGGTATGAACATTTTTATAAGTAACTACTATACGTATATGCACTATCCGATTCCCGCCGGAATCTACTGAAGTTTATTTATTGCATTATTTACTATATTGATACACGTGCTGTGCAGCAAAGGGAAAAGTTTTACTGTACTGTTAACACACGGGAATTGCATTTTCCTCTCTGTTTCATTACAATTACTAGTGGTAGGTACAATCCGATTCCCGCCGGAATTTACTGAAGTTTATTAATCGCAATATTTACTATATTGATACACGTGCTGCGCAGCGAGGGAAAAGTTTTGAGGAAAATATTTATTTCTGAAAAATAAACAATATTTTGATTATATTTTTAATTAGAAACCAAACATCGGGGGTATTTTACTCTTCTGTTGTGCTTCATTACTATTTTTAGTTTACAGGGGTTACAAAAAGAAAAATAGCTTTTTAACGTCCTGCATTTTTATAGTGGAAGGATTTCGAAAAAATGACACTTTAGTGGCGGTTTATATATATATATATATATAACATTCCATATTCGCAAATGATTTGCATTTTTTTTATATAAAAGTGCAATGACTAACGAATTTAAAATCTACCGTTTGGTAAGTGGCTCTGCAGTACATGGACTTCAAAGTTCAAATAAAGAAGGCTACAGATGTCACCTCTGAAGATTAAGATGAAAAGCCTCACACAGCCTGTATTACTCTCTATTTCCTTCAGACGACCATATCCATACCATGTCGAGAGTTCGACTATCTATTATACATTTTAACAATGCAGATGTTAAAAATCCCTTCAGGTCACATACAAAGTATCAGAATTAAGCTGATATTTAATAGAAGGGAAATTGTAGTCTATGGGCAACCAACTTCGAAAATAATTTTCAAACTTGCTCTGAGAACTAAATAGAACTAAAACCTTCACAACTCTGTTACTGTACTAGCTCTTCATATCCTTCTCCAAACGGAACGCGATAGTGAATTCGCTTCTGCGTCGTGATCATCGTCGTCGTCGTTTATCCTGACGGATTCCTAGACAAAAGAAAAGTGTAAAAATTTGACGTTCATCACGCGAATATTTCAGACTCTAATAGAGACATAGTCCATCCGGTCGTCTTTTATTCGTTTTAGAAACGATAAATTCGAGGTGTAGTCATAATATACTAGTTCTTTTGCCCTTTAAATCGGAAGACGACAATGTATACGCTGCGTTGCTAAGTTGCCAAAGGTATATAGTTTTGATGGTTTTTATTTCGACCTTCAAGACTGGGAAGGAGCCTTTCCAGGTACGGCTTCGCCGTCCACTACCATCTCGAGACGGCGAAGCCGGCCTTGCTCTTTCTGACCGAGACGCAGGTTTCCTCTCCGGCTGATATTTCGTATCTCTCCTGCCCGGGGTACAAATTGGAGCACTCCTTTGTGCCTCGGGCTGGAGTTTGCGTGTATGTCAGAGAGGACATCTGTTCTCGACGCCTCGGCAGTCTTGAAGGTTCGGACCTGTCCATCCTTTGGCTACGCGTAGACAGCGACGACCATCCGCGCGTCTACGGGTGCCTCTATAGGTCCCATAGCGGTAATGCCGAAACAGACCGACTCATCGACCACGTCCAAATGGCTACAGATTCCTTGCTACAACAGGTCCCATCCGCAGAGATCGTGATCCTTGGCGATTTTAACGCCCACCATGCCGAATGGCTCGGTTCACGTTTAACCGATCATGCGGGGAGATCTGTTTATGACTTTGCTTTGGCATATGGTCTGACACAACTGGTTACTTCGCCTACGCGGATTCCAGATGTGGAGGATCATACACCTTCCCTGTTGGACCTTCTGCTGACCTCATCCGGACGGATATCAGGTTTCCGTCGATGCCCCTCTCGGCTCTTCGGACCATTGTCTGATCCGGAGTATGGTGCCACTCACGCTCCCTTCGCGGTTGCGTTCTGCAGGTTGCCGCCGTGTTTGGCATTACAGGTCGGCGGATTGGGACGGAATGCGGTCTTTCTTTGCATCCTACCCATGGGGGCGGGTTTGCTTCTCGCCGGATGATCCCAGCGCTGTTGCTGACTCTGTCACTGATGTGGTGCTACAGGGAATGGAACTATTTATTCCATCATCTGTGGTACCCATCGGAGGCAGATCTCAGCCTTGGTTTGGTCGCTCCTGTAAGACTGCATTGCGCAGAAAGCAGGAGTGTTATCAAGCCTGGGCTGCGGCTTCGGTGACTCGGGATGTAAACACCAGCACACTTAAAAAGAAGTATAACTTCGCCTCCAGGTCCTTCAAAAGAGTTATTGCCAGGGCAAAGTCAGAGCACATAGGCAGAATTGGCGAGAAACTAGTTCGCCTTCCTTCGGGAACCCGTGCATTCTGGTCTCTCGCCAAGGCTGTCCAAGGGAATTTCTGTAAGCCATCACTACCATCTCTGCACAGGGAGGACGACTCACTGGCCCACGACGCAAAAGAGAAGGCCGACCTTTTAGGCTCCCTTTTTGCGTCCAACTCGACTGTTGATGACGGGGGGAACACACCGCCGACCATTCCGCGGTGTGAGTGCTCTATGCCGGATGTGCTATTCTCACAGCGCTCGGTTCGCAGAGCACTCCTCTCCCTTGACATCCACAAGTCGAGTGGGCCTGACGGAATCCCCCCAATTGTGCTGAGGACGTGTGCTCCGGAGTTGGCACCGGTTCTAACGCGTCTTTTCCGGTACTCCTACTCCCATGGCGTTGTCCCGAACTCATGGAAGACAGCTTTTGTCCACCCGATCCCTAAAAAAGGCGACCGCTCAGACCCGTCCAACTATAGACCTATCGCGATCACCTCCTTGTTCTCCAAAATAATGGAATCCATTATTAACTGCCAGCTCATCCGGTACCTTGAGGATCACCAGCTGATCAGTGACCGCCAATACGGTTTTCGTCGGGGTCGATCAGCTGGTGATCTTCTAGTCTACCTGACCCATAGATGGGCGGAGGCAGTAGAGTCCAAGGGGGAGGCGTTGGCCGTTAGTCTGGACATTGCGAAGGCCTTCGATCGGGTTTGGCACAAAGCGCTTCTTTCGAAGCTCCCTTCCTATGGGCTTCCCGAGAAATTGTGCAATTGGATCACCAGCTTCCTTGCAGATCGGAGCATCAAGGTCGTTGTAGACGGTGCATGTTCTGACTACAAGCCTATTAACGCTGGTGTTCCACAAGGCTGTGTGCTATCACCAACGCTGTTTCTTCTGCATATCAATGATATGTTGCTAACTGGTAACATTCATTGCTATGCGGATGACAGCACTGGTGATGCTCTATACACCGGCCGGGCCAATATTTCTCGGGAAAACGTCGCCGAGTACCGGAACAAACTTGTGTCTGAAGTCGAGTCTTTGCTGGACAAAGTCTCGGATTGGGGGCGACTAAATCTAGTCCAGTTTAATCCTCAGAAGACACAAGTTTGCGCGTTTACCGTTAAAAAGAACCCCTTTGTCGTATCTCCTCAGTTTCAAGGCACTCCCCTTCTTGCCTCAGCCAGTATCGGTATCCTCGGAGTCGACATATCGAGTGACGTGCAGTTTCGTGGTCACTTGGAAGAGAAGGCCAAATTGGCCTCTAAAAAGCTTGGCGTGCTCAGCAGAGCGGGACAGTATTTCATGACGGCACACCGCCTGCAACTTTACAAGGCGCAGGTTCGGCCTCACATGGAATACTGTTCCCTTCTCTGGGCAGGGGCTCCCCAGTGCCAGCTCCTTCCACTTGACCGCATCCAGCGCAGAGCGGCTCGAATCGTCGACGACCGAGCCCTTTCCGATCGGCTCGATTCATTGGCACTGCGAAGAGATGTTGCATCTCTTTGCATTTTCTTTCGCATCTACCATGGGGAGTGCTCTGAGGAATTGTTCGGATTAATCCCAGCCGCCAAATTTCATGAACGCACATCGCGGCAGAACTCCCGATACCATCCATACCATCTGGATGATTGGCGGTCCACCACTGTGCGATTTAGAAGATGTTTTCTTCCTCGCACGACTTCTTTGTGGAATCGATTACCATCAGCGATTTTTCCGGACCGATACGACTTAGGGACCTTCAAGAAAAGAGCCTACTCCTTTTTAAAAGGCCGGCAACGCATCTGCAATTCCCCTGGTGTTGCGGTTGTTCGTGGGCGGCGGTAGTCACTTACCATCAGGTGAGCCGCATGCTCGTTTGCCCCCTCTCCTATAAAAAAAAAAAAAGGTAGAAAAGTTAGCTATTTTGATTGCTGCAGAATGCACAGGAAACAGAAAACCGTTTCGTATCTATTGGCTGCAATAGATTAATTAATTTTCAGTGTAAAATGAAAAAAATAACACGAGCGAAGAAGGCAATCTAGCAGTGTAATCAGTACACAACACGGCAAAGAAGGTCAAACAAAGTTGGGCGTATTTTTATTTTTCTGTCTTGAGCTTTTTAACATAAGAGAGGGGCGTAATAGAAATTCTTTTCTTATATTCTTTACGAGATAAAGTTATTATTTATTGTTTGATTTTCTTAAAATCATCCTAAATAAATGCTCATAGCATTTTACTCAGAGCTATAGAGACTATAAGTAACAGGTAAGTATTTCATTTTCTTGTTGTTGTTTAACTGTATACAATTATGAAATATATATATATAATTCATCTTTATATATAAAAATTACGTGTCACGTTGTTTGTCCGCGATGGACTCTCTAAACTACTGAACTGATTTCAATGAAATTTTGTACACTGTGTATATTTTGTTCGAACTTGAGAGATATACTTTTATACGTTGTAGAGCCATGCTGCAGCTATATTAATAGTATAGTTGTAGCACGAATGGGTCGGCTCGACCGGGGAACGACCACACTCTCACAGAATACCAGCGTAAAACAGCAGCTTAACACTGCTGTGTTTCGTATGGTGAGTGTAGAGAACCGGAGACCCTATTTACTGGAAAAGAGGCATTCCATCTTAGTCCTCATGGGTGACAACGCATCTGCATTTTGATTCGCAAACGAGGATAAATGT